CGCAAGTCGTGGCCATTGGGTGTAAAACCGGTGAAAATACCGACATCAATAACAGTGAGACCAGCATTACTGGCGGGCATGTGTTGAACACACAGTTTGACCAACAAAACCAATTTACTTATGTGGCTATCAGTAGTCTCAATGGGTTCGGGACTGAGATTATTAATCCGGTTAAGAGTATCATTGTTTGTGTCGGCGATTTTAACCGTCGATTTGGTGACCCACTGTCCGCCGGTCCACACATCCAAATAATCCGAGTCTTCCGTCGCTGTGACCGACTGTGCCGTCCATTCGTCGGCCGAAACACTCACATCAAACCTACAGAGAGGTTCGTCCGGCGACTCAAACACATTGTACTTCGTTGTGACCGAGAGTCTAGCCATTCCAACTCCGGTAGTCATCGCAATCACTTGAGACACATCTGTGGCGTCAAAAAGTAATGTCTGTAATACGGGTGCGTTGTTATCATTAAACGCCAGTCTCTTATCACCGCCGCTATTGGTGGTAATGTTACAGACAAGTGACACACGTCTGTCCTCCTGTCCCCTATAAGTGCGCTCATTATAGACAGAGAGGGCCTCGAGAGCGGTCACCGTATCTTCAGTGACCGGTGCGATGGCCGACATGTTTCGGCCGGCATTCAGCCAATTAGCCCACGAGTGTTCGTCAATCTTATCCATTGTTGATAATGTCATTAAAGTATTACATTAGAGTCCTACTTACCTCCATATCGTTGTACGAATTTTCTGTAAATCTGATCCCAAGATGTTTTATTGTCTGTGTTTTTGTTGCAAACTTTACTCTCGACTTAACACTAATCTATTGTTAGATTGTTTTGATTACTATTTTCAATAATTAATTAATAATTTTCGAAATAATTCAAAACAAATTTCACGTTTATTTTAAAAATTAAAAAGAAATATCAAATGATTGTTACATTTGTTTGTATTTAATTACAATTGTAGTTAATTTTATACATTTTATTAATAAATGTGTTAATTATGAACACAATGTATTGTCCCGTTTTGTCTCCAGACATTCGTTCGCTCATATCATACACTATACAAGTGCTGTCCAAATGAGTTGACTGTCCACTAAAGTGACCGAAAATTATCATTTCGTTTCCGTCATCGGCGGTCACGTGAGAGCACTCGTCGTTTATATTCAGTACAAGTCTTTGGTGTCTCTGAAGAGCTTATAAAATATTGTATATATTTAATGTTCAATACATGTATAAAATTTATTAAATTATTTTTATCAGTTTATAACATAATATTTTAAATCTACTATAATTATTTTATAATTTATTATTATAAATTTTAAACTATCGGTTCTACACAAAGTAACATTCTGTATATAATAAAATTCATTTGTTTATTTAATCAATCATATTTCGTAATTTGTTAAATATAATACTTACTGCCTTTTAATACATGTTTAACTCTAACCGACAATAACTTGAGACCACTTTCGGTGACATTACGTCCGCTAATAGTGGCGGTGAAGACTCGGGTAAATCTGGGCGAACAGACCATTTTATCAAACAATTGTCGGGCCCTCTCGACCCTCATCTCCGCTATTAAACCCATTTCCAGCAAACGTTTAGCCGACGGACAGTTAGACCGCTGAACACAATCGCACAGTTGGGTACTGTTGTCACACACCGTATCGATCCCATGGGTCTTACGCCCAACGGGTGTAAACAGTCGAATACAAGAATCGCCTAAAACAATATTATATAATAAATTTATTATAATATTACAGTACTTTATAACACAATAACTTTATATCGAATTTATTACTTTATTATTAAATTACTTAAATATAATTGCACATACCCAGATTGTTATACTCATATATTCTAACAAACGCTGCCGGAGTGTTTGTCACGTGATGCACCCGAACTGACCGAAATTGTAAGCAATAGGGTTAACTGAACGATACATTTTGCATATAAAACAAGATATTTCTGTCGGATATCTCATACGCGGTGACCAACGAATGGTTCATAGAGACGATCTCTCGCAAGTCGTGGCCATTGGGTGTAAAACCGGTGAAAATACCGACATCAGTAACATTGAGACCAGCATTGATTGCGGGCATGTGTTGAACACACAGTTTTACCAATAAAACCAATTTACTTCTGTGGGTATCAGTCGTCTCAATGGGTTCGGGACTGAGATTATTGATCCGTTTAAGAGTATCATTGTTTGTGTCGGCGATTCTAACTGTAGATTTAGTGACCCACTGTCCACCGGTCCACACATCTAAATAATCCAAGTCTTCAGTCGCTGTGACCGACTGTGCCGTCCATTCGTCGGCCGAAACACTCAAATCAAACCGACAGAGAGGTTCGACCGTCGACTCAAACACATTGTACTTCATTGTGACCGACAGTCTGGCCATTCCTGTGCCAGTAGTCATCGCAATCAAGTGAGACACATCTGTTGTGTCTAAAATCATAGATTGTTTAATAATACAATTAGTATTATTAAATAAAAGCTTCCGGTTGACTCCACTGTTGGTGATAATGGTACAAACTAGTGTCATGTTGTCCATCATCGACACAAGTTCTCCGTTCATAAGTTGCTCGCCTGTAATAATGCACTGTTGAGTGCCGGGCACTATAGTCCGGGTGGGATCGGGTGTTATATCTATTACAGTCATTTGTGACGAAATCATGGGAAAAATCGCATTTTCGATTCGCCCGGTGTTTACTCTTCCTTTCATTTTTTGCTGTCTATTCTGTGGGTCTAACCAAACAGACAACTCATTCTTAATGCTAATACCTGGAGGTCTGACATCGAAATTCTTGACCACCACATCGGCGCCACCGCCCGACCAAACGGCCACAAACTTTACCTCAAATACTCCACTCCTGATGGCAACCATCGGATAGGACACAGTCTTCAATGAGTTACTGTCTACTTGTATCTGTCGTTTAGGCCGGTCTTCATTGGTCTCGGCCTCCGAGCAGATGCCGTTCACTCGATAGGTATAAACAGTTACCGACACTCGTTTGGGACTGTAGTTAAACACAGAGACAATGGCCTCCAAGTGTTCGTTCTGTACCACCGATGGAGGCATTGATATGTCGAGGAATATGTCTTGAAATGAGCGCAAAATTATTGGCATTGATTGAATGCAAAAGCCGATGTCCGCCGACAAAGACATAGCGCTTAACGACGTGGTTATTGAATGGGGAAGAGTTACGGCATATGCTGTTGTACTAAAAAATTGAATAGTAATTAATTACCTTATAATATTTAAAAATTAATTATTTGAATAATTGTAAGTTAAACCATGATGTATTACTATTTTTCAATAAAGGTTATTAACACTGATTACGTATTCATAATTTAGCTTTATAATATAGTGATATATCATGTGCTAACTTACAATTATTCATTTAATGTATTTACAAACCTTTGATTGACGACAACGATGTCAAACAGCCAGGTTTGCCTAAAGTTTGACCTAATCATAACTCTGTCCTCCAAGTCCTGTTCGTACGCCACGTGAACAAAGTCATCGTCGGTTTGATAATTATCATTTAACATATAGGAAACACTTTCAGCTAAATTAAGTTAATAAATAAAAGATTAGTTATAAATTAATTAACTATGTAAATTATACATGTGTTACGTAAGATTTGTGAGAATTTTTACTATCCTATTTACTACTGATATGTAAACTTGTATGCGTTATAGTCTTTAAGCAAATATCATAATCTTATTCATTAAGTAATGTAATTTACTAATCAATTAAAACTAGGGTTACAAACAACTGATGGACAAATAGAAATATTATTGATACTGAATTTACAAAATATAGTTTAGTCCTTAGTATCGCGATAGGTCAGTGTAAATGATTGGTAAATTAAAAGCGGTCCTTTAACATGAGGTCATTCAAATAAGAACATACTTAATTTTTCAATAAAATTGTAGCTTAGTGAATTTGGGTAAAATAATGAACCATCAACTTGTATACAGCATTTCATAAATTCAACTTTGCAATTATTTGACACAAATCTTGTTGTTGCATTATGATGACAAATACCATAGAGTAATCCCGCATTCTGTCCATACATACAACATATCTCATTGGATTCCAGGAGTCCTTCGTGACCGCCTCTCATCGCTCGTCTGATCCGTTGGCCGTAATGTGTTTGCCGTTGGACACAGACGTCTTCCCATTTATCATTAAGGCTGCCATTAATCGCGCCTTTAATTATCTTAAGGCCCATATTGTTGGCCACGAGCGGCACATTCAGACCCGTTCCCGGACCGCAACCCGTGTCTGATTTTGACAATTCGTTATACAGTTTACTTCTCGTCAGTTTGTCTTTGTCTCTGAGATGATAAACGGCTTCATCGATGGCTAACAATCCTATACTATCATCAATAGATCCAGATATCAGCAAATCTAACTGTTGTCCCGGTTTCGCGTCCACCATATCGTTATCAAACCGCACATCAAAAGCGCACTTCTCTTCGTTGACATAGATTTTAATTGAATCTGAAAGCAGTTGTTTGCCATCGTTTGCAAAGCCTAAGACCATAAGCCGTATATAAGGTGTCATCTCTCGTGTAATCTCTATCCGCAGCTTATTATCGGAGATTATTTGCGTGTGAATAATATTACCCCGATTTAAGACCACAAAATGAAATACATTAGATATAGTACCGCCGTTGACCACAATTTGACTATGGTAAATGTCATCCACCGATAATGTCGTGCTATTAATAGATTTGTTTGCAATATAAACAAATTCATGTGGCGCTTTGTCAGCCCACAATATATGAGTGCGAATTGCCTGTTCATTAAGGTAATAATCAGGATCTACTGTTTTAATTGTAACATGGAGTTCATTAACACTTTTATTAACATTAATGGGCAGAGATAGCCGTCCCAAGCGGTCAGTTATTAAATAATTTTTTGTTATGTTTCGGACCGTAAACCAAACCGCTAAATTGGGCACACCTTCTCCCAACACGTTATTAATTTGTGCCTAATAAGTATATAATATTTCATATTTAATATATAATATAGATTTATATTTAATATATATTATATTAACCAAGATTACAGTTAACTTACATTAATAAAAGTTGTGACATTTGGCTTAAAGTCTGTAAACGTGTCCTTAAATGATATGACATAAGGAGTGGTGACAAACACCACACTGTCATCGATGGTCCGTTCCTTACGTTCGGTGACCGTCTCGTGAACACTGACCTCAACCACTAGTCTATGGCCGACAACTGTCGGGAACCACGCGAACGGTGTTTGACGTAATTTATTAGTACTCAAAGTATATTCAGCGAAACCATTGCGCAATTGTTTGGCTGAAGTGCTGCCAAAATAATGAATGCGATTGTCTTTGGGATCTTTGACGCCATACTTGAACTCAACGGTTCCGGTGACCGCTTTTCCGTACGTATAGTTTACGGCAACTAAACCGCTGATGTCATCCAAACTTTGAAGTATGTATTTCTGCAGCGGATTTATTTTGATAGTAAAAGTCGGCAAAATGTGTTCAATCACTTCAAACGATATTGTGTGAAAACTGTTGGATTAAATGAAGTTAGAGAGAGAGAGAGAGTATTAGACATACATCTGGTCCGTACCAGATCTCAGCAAACCATAGGCCAAGTGTGGGTTCGGGTGGAAATTCAAACCGATAGTCAACAAAATATTTTGGGTTATTTGGCCATAAAGTTGTTTCCTCTGTGTATATGTTTTGTGGATTCTTATCATAAATTTTGTAAAATTATTTAATTATTTTATAATAAATTAATTATACTTTTATCCTAAGTTTGAAGCTCTGGTCGACGAGTGGCCGAAGTCTACCATCGAGTCTAATACATCGTATGAACACATTATCTGTCGGATTATATAAGGGTTTATCGGTTTGAATGAACGCAAAGCCGGAAATTTGGATAACTTTTATGACAGTTTCAAGTGTTTGATTCAGACTATCGATTGTAACCGAAAGTAACACTTTTGGCTCAATGTCTGACAATGAGATATTTGTTATATTGAGACCAACTTTTAGCGGTTTATCTGTAACAGTTATAAATTGTTAAAGCAAATCAATTATAACATTTTAATCATATAGTTAATTGTTATATAAATTCTCTCTCTCTCTCTCTCTCTCTCTCTCTCTCTCTCTCTCTCTACCTTTAATGACATTATGTCTGGTATTTGTGATAATGTGTTGTGTTTTATAGTCTTTAAGGCAGACATCGATTGAAAGACTTGTTTTCGAAATAATAACAATATTTTGTGTTTCGTTTAAATGAAATCTTTTCGGTGTTATTATTAACGGCGAGTCTTCGCAACTGTTTTCATGCAAACCATTCAAAATAAAATTACAATCATTAAACATTTAAATTAAATATTTAAAAATATAAACAAACATTATGCTAATTATTATTAATTATTAATAATTAATACTTACTGATATAGAGAGCTTATCAATAATATTGATCCAATAAAATACAAATATAAATTATGTTTAAAACACATTGCATTATTTGATAGTGTTAACCTTTATAAAATGATCAAACATTGAATTATGGTAATTTATTTGTGTATACTTTACAGAAATGTTAAACATTTAATAATGTTGTCTTACTAAAACTTTAAATTAATAATATATCAATTTTTAGTTTATTTATTATTAATAATTTGTTAAAAGTATTGATGTTTTCAATAATATATAATCATTACAATTACATAATCACTACATAATATGCTGCATATTATCATCATAATCATTTATCTCAATGTCAACTGTAAATTATAATAACACTATATCAACTTTCTGTCAAACATTATCAGTAAATAAAATGTTTATAAAATAGTCGTTAATTAAAAAATCTATAAAAAGTTATTTATAAATTGAGTGCCTTTTATACAAACAAATGATAAAATAAATGTGTCATTAATTTCCGGGAATTTGTATTAAATATTATCCAATTATATAAACAATGTTTTAGTATAAAGAACTTGAAAGTTTCAACAATAGACTTTAATAATTATTTTTAATTAACAAATTACCATAATAAAAATCTCTATACAAATACTAACACCTATTAATTGATAAATTGAAAACAAATGAATGAGAAAAACAACAAATAATACAATAAATTTTAAAAGTCTCTTTAATATTGAAAGCGATTTACTGTCGGATCAAATGAACCTCAAAGTGAGTACAAAACTTCTCGTCCGACTCAATCACTTCATAGTCCTCTACCCGTTAAACCCGAACCCATATTATCAATGAAATTATTGTTATTGTTAATATTAGGCCTACCATTCATTTTAAGCCCTCAATGATTAAGTATTCAAAATACAAATTGTTTAAATAATTATAAAATTCAAGATTAATAAATGAAAAAACAAGAAAACATTGAAAACTAGAATTGACTTTATTTTTGATACCACTTTAGTATCGATGAAATACTTGTTGAAAATCACTTCAATATTGAAACCGATTTATTATCGGATGAAATAAAACTTGATTTGAGTTGAAAAAGCAATAACTGTTGCTCTGGCTCTACCACTTCATACTAGTTGCATCCCCTTATTGACCCCCTACTGCGCCCCCTGCACCTCCCAGGCCGGGCACTATTGGGGGTAATTGGAAGAGTTCCTGTTCTCCTCCCCATTTGAAGTACGGATACCTAAATACTCCGATTTCTTTGCCGTTCGGGTCATTCTCGTAGACCCAGCCGTCGGCGCCCACCCATGAATTCACGCCATTGATCGGATCCGCGGAATAATACAAACGCTTTTGCATTGATTTTTCATCCCGAGCCGCGTATCCATCGGACAGGCCGTACCTAATGTAGCCAATGCCCGTTACTTGTCGGTACCAGTCGTGACCGTATTTACGCCAAACCCTCTCGTGAATGGCTTGATTGGGCGGGAATGCGAGCACCCATCGGTTGCCGCTATCAAACCGACACAAGTGTCTAAGCGATCGCACCGGTGGCGGCACCAGATTCGCTGCGCTCACCACATGAGACTCGCAGACAATAGGCACGAATGGGAAGCGTTGGCGACGAGGAGGATTAGGGGGCACAGCGTTGGTGTAAATGCCCGGCGCGTTGTAGTTCACCTCCAAATACCGATAGCAATACGGATCCACACCAAGTATTTTGCCGAGGATTGTGTTGTCTTGAGACGCGGCAAACGTGTGGCTACAGTCGAACTCATTCTGAAAGTCAGTGGTGAGCACCGACTGATGCAAACGCTCGTACCGGTGCCGAGCGGCCACTTCACGCATACCCACATCCCATTCCTCGATGGCAAGCACTACACCGTTTTCGGGCGCCGATAGAATAGCCCCTTCTCGGCCAGTACTGGCATTGGGACCAATGTTGAGTCCCCAGCAGTGGGTCTCGTACTGTGATTCTGTGGGCCCCAGGAATACGACCGGATGTCTCATATTATACTCCAATTGTGTGTCTTTGGCGATCAAAAACCCGGTGTCAATGGCCTGAGTGGTGGTCAACGCATTGAATCTGCAGAAAACATCAAAAAGCGTTGCCGGATGTGACCACACCAGTGGGCCCTCCACTACCACTAGACCGCCTTGTTGTATAAGAGTGCGGTTGTGATTGCCAGTACCTTGGGCATAAGGGTAGTTGTATGCGTCTATCACCACGAGTCGGGCGCCGGCGCACACGTATATCGCATAATATTCTTGAGCGTCGACGGGTGGAAACAGGCCTTCTGTTTGATCCACATACCAATCCAATATCTCGGCGACGGCGCCCAATGAGTGGATCCTAGAATGAGCCAAACTTTTGTAATTGGGATCGTTTGAATTTAGACCGGGAATCGGTCCCCTAATAAACCGCCGGTGGCCGCGATCGGCATCGATTGGGGTAATCTCTCCAAAGTAAAGGCCGAGACACATGTGGATCGGATGGCCAGCCTGTGCCTCGGCTTCGGTCTCGTAAGTCATGGCCGGATACACTTGCGTAATGGCGGCGTATGGGCCCCAGTCGTAAATGTTGCCGTGGGTCATGTTGTCGCCAAAATACCACCGGCACGATATGCCGGCAAAGTTGTCGCTGAACAGTATGTAACCCCACTGGACGTCCCCTAAGCGACGCACACACTCCGCTTCAATACGAGTATTGTGGACAGTAGTGCCAATCGCGACGCCCGGAACGAGCATAGAGTACACGGCGGTGACGTACACACAGTACGGCTCGGTCTCAACATATCGCAGAAATGTGTGATTGAGGCCAAGCGCTGTCGGGAAGTAATACTGGATATTGTGGTTCACAAAGTAGCCGGTGTTCACCTTCACCTGTTCACCCCTGAATATGCGCCGGACTATCACTTTGCGCAGCACTTTGTTGTGAGTTTGCGGGTCTGCTTCCGGATACTCACCGTCGTTGGTGTCCATACTGTGTGTCTCTTTGTTTGTGTGCCGTTGTCTGCGCTAATGATACTTGTCTTAAGTCTTGTGTCTCTTAAACTAGTCTTTGTGTCCAATTGTTTTAAGATCTATGTCTTGACGAAAGTTTTGTTTGTTTTAATCAATAATACTTTGATTAGATTTAAAGTTTTAAAATAATTGAAATAAACATTGATATACTTTTGTTGTTTCAATTAAGTATTTTCAAAATCTAATTGAATTTTATTATTCTTAATTTATTAGAAATGTTATTATTTTAATGCATAAACACTTTCTGTTATTTATTGTTTTAAATCAACTTGAATATAAATTTTAAAACAATAAAAAGTAAATTGTAAAATTTTATTATTTTTAAAAAATAAATTGTATATAATTATATAAAATTATAAACAATGAAATACAAGATATTTACAATGAAATTGTAAACACAAAATTAAGTGATATTTCTTAATAAAAATAACAAATAAAAACATATTTAAAATAAATTAAAACAACAAAGTGTTTGAATAATTATAACAAATTCAAACGCAATTCAATGATTGAGAAAAACAACAAAACATTGAAAATTGGAATTGACTTTATTTTTGATACCACTTTAGTATCGATGAAATACTTTACGAAAACCACTTTAATATTGAAACCGATTTACTATCGGATGAAATAAACGTTGTTTTTAGGTCTGAATGAGTGAAAAATCTTCTAAAATGTGTGTATTTTCTTTGAAATCATTGATTTGCCACTAAATTGTGTGGTCTCTGGTCTGTATAGTTCTGACTATTGATGGCCATTGCCTGCGGGCACGGGTTGGTACAGCGCACCCGTTTCAGTGTAATACTCGGTTCCGTTTCGTCGGTAAACTGGGTATTGAAAATGGGCGACACCATTGGGATCGGGTGCCTCTTCATAGGCCCAGCCATCGACGCCCACGTAAGTGCCCACACCATTGATGGCCGGTGACGTATTGTAGCCGCACTTTGTCATTACACACTCGTTCATACGAACTATATGTTGAGATTTCGTGTATTTCTCGTACTTTCCGGTGTCCACATTGAGGTACCAGTCGGGGCCCAAACGATGCCATTTTGATTCTGGCGCTGCGGTGGTCGGCATGAATCGGACGATGTCTGCCGCGTCGCCCGGCATTGCAAATGCGGGTCTGAGCGGCAAAACTGGTGGGCGGTAGGAGTTAGTGCGGGTCACCCAATGTTGCAAGCATTTGATGGGCGTGTGGGTGCGCCTCGTATGTTGGATGGCCAGCGGTACACCTGACTGGTAAATACCGGGTGCGCTGTAGTTGACGGCCAACCATCGGTTGCTATGGGCGCCGACACCCAATATCTTGTCCAAAAGTCCGGCCCCATTGGGAACATTGAAGTCACGGCAACAAGTAATGGGTTGGTGATTGTCGTCCGTAACCACTGAACTATGCAACTGCTCGTATGCGAATCGGGCGGTCACTTCACGCATACCAGTCTCCCACTCCTCAATAGCGGTGACCACACCGTCCTGTGGGGCCGACAGAATAGCCCGGCGCTGACCGCCGCTTACGTCTATATTCAGTCCCCAGCAGTGAGTTTCGTGCTGTGATTCAGTGGCGCCCAGGAATACAACCGGTTCTTGGATTCCGATATACTTTTGCTCCAAATTTGTGTTATTTGGAGTCAGAAATCCGCACTCAACCGCCTCTGCGGTCGTCAGCGATTTGAACACTCCAAGCGGGTGTATAAACCTTGGGGGCGGCGCCCACTTGAGCTCGTACTCGGCCACCACTAGACCGCCCTGTTGTACGAGAGTCCGGTTGTGGCCATATTCGAGTTCAGTCAGATTTGTCTGGTTTCGTTCACGTTTGCAATTGTGATTGTCGGTGACCACTAGTCGGGCGCCGGCGCACACGTATATGGCGAACGTGTGCCGGGTCTGAGCGGGTGGTGATCGGGGAATGTCTTGCAAAATATCAGTCAAGTCCAATATCTCCCACACATTGCCCAACTCGTGGAGATACTGATCGGATTTGGTCTTCCGAACGTTGACGTTCCTAATGTTGGCCAACGCATCGATGGGTCCCCTCACAAATCGTCGGCGCCCGCGTGGGTCCTCCACCACACCCATGGCTTTTGTCTGGCCAAACATGAGACCGAAACACAGCCGGCGTTCAATCAAGTTGTTCGGTCCCTGCCATCTGAATGATATACAGGGATAGAGTTGGCTGACGGGTCCCTCAGACCAGTCGCCGCTTGGAACGGTAGTGGCGCCGGCGCCGAACCAAAACACGCAGCGAATGTTAGCGCTGCGAGTGGTGAACAACAGATGCCCCCACTGGCCGTCGGCCGACCTGTTTTGCCACTCTTGCAGCACATCGCCCGCTCCGGGCAAGTAATACAAGGCAGTCGCGTACACGATATACTCCTCGCCAAACAAGTAACGCACAAAGTTTATGTTTGGTCTTATACTATTGTTTACGTGGTGAAAGTGGAGCTGATTGCCAACATAAGCACCGATACTTACATCAGCGGTAAAGTCGGTTCTGTATCGGCGCTGAACAATAGCTTTGCGCAGCACTTGTCGACCCCCGGGTATCGCACCTCTGTTTTCATCCATTGTTTGCCAATTTTGCTGTTTGTGTGCTGCAAGAGTGGCAAAACAGGTCGGCCGACGGCCAGTGGGGGCATCTGTTGTTCACCACTCGCAGCGCTAACATTC